GACGTAAGCAGGTCTTGACAAGCAACTTATTCAATGGATTGAGTTGGTGTTTAGGAAGATAATTTGTCTCTGTTGCTGCTCTCTATTACATGCATAAAACCATTATTTTATATACTTGACTTGGAAATATTAGCATTGAGATTCTTACTTGAATTTTGTTTAAAGAGACAGCTATTGGAGGAAAGAGGAGAATATGTAAGCAAACTTCAGGTGGGGCTTGAAGAAAAGGACCAAGAAGCCCTTATGATGGGAAATAAGAGGGTGAAAGAACCAGAAACTGATATTAAACAGCAGGTTGGAAATGAAGTGACGTTAGCCAAAGCACACTGGGAGCAGAAAGAGGTGTGGGTTAATATTTCTTTCTAGACACCATGTTTAAAAAACGTAGTATTAACTGTTGAGAGACAGTTCTTTTCTTCCTAAGTAGACATATAATTTTTAATTGCCAAGTACATAATCACTCATTATATTTCTCAGAATTGGGCTCTTTAGCAGCTTACACCAATTTATTTTTTAAAATGTCAACCCTCTTGACTCTTCAACCTAATTCAGGATGTAATGGGTTTTTAAGGCACATTTTTGATTCTTTAAAATAAAACCATGACCTAATTTCATATCGTGAAATGATTCTGATAAGTCTAGACAAATCTATAACTAAGAAATAAATAACCCATATTATGGATTAGAAGAAAGAAGTAATGATTAGGTTGGCTCAGAAGTATAAAACATTGCTTCTATTACCTAAGTAGCAAATGAGATTAGAAAATGTTAATAGTTTCCTAGATCATTAAGAACCAAACTTTGATCTTAAAAACTGAGTTGGAAGTGAAATACATTCTCAAGCTTATTTAAAGTAGATTCTCCTATCCACAAGATTGCTATGAATTGGGGTTGGGGATACCTCAAGATAGAAGAGTAAACCACTATCCTATCTTTTGGGCTCCCTATTTCTTTTTTTTCTTTTTTCTTTTTTCTTTTTAATTGGGGAGTTAGGGGAAGGGGAACAGACATGTTGCTGTCCTTTTGTTCTTCAGTCTAGTTGTGGAAGATGTTGCTTCACTTGGCCTCCCTATTTCTTATTGTCTGTCCCCTCCCCCAAATAGCATTCACTAATTTAGTGCTGGCACCTGAAATTCTTTCTACTAGTCATTTTTTTTCATATAAAAATATATGTTCTGGAATGTATCTCCTGACCTTAACATATGTAAAATCTGGATGGCACAAAATAAATCCTCTGTTTTTACATTGTTGCAAATTGTCTTTAGTTGAATCTGCTAACCAGTTATTGACCAGGGGCATGAGAGAGACAGCTAATGTCTTTTTGAGTATGTCAGGACAGCATAAACTGCTATACAAGATGGCCACTTCAAATGATGCAATGTAGCCAGGGAAGCAGTTTGAGACCACTGGATCCTAGGAGGTGAGAAACAGGAAAGGGAAAAGCAGATTTTGCTATTTTATAGTTTTGCCTAAGACTGATGGTGTTTGGATCCATCCCACTACTCTGTTGAAAATGAAAAGAATCATAAGATGGACGAATGCCCCCCTCTTGAATGCACAGTCTACTCAGTAGAATTTAATATCATAACAGACAATATTCTAATGTGTTTAACTGAGTAAAATTGGTAGGTTCATTAATTAGCCTTACTGAGTGCCTGCTTCCTGGAAAGCCTTGTGTTGATGGAAAAACACATACTAATTGCAAAAGTTTTCTTTCTTCCTTGCCTTGCCTCCCTTCTCCTCCCCTCCCCTTTTCTCTCTCTCCTCTCTCTCTGCTCTTTGAAATCATGCCACTTTGTGGTGGCAATGTCAAAACTTCCAGAAGGTTACATCTTGAGAGCAAGATAGCCTGTCCTTAACACAACATATTTAAATCTTCTATGTGATTTATGTCACATAGATAAGGTCAAAGAGTAATTTTCATGATTTACTTGCGAATATATTTTCATTGACTAAATTTCTAAATCTCATGTGATTGCCATAACAATGTCTAGATGGTTTTCAAACACAGTTATGGTTGGTTTTTTTGGCTGGATATTCTAGTTCTTGCTAATAATTTTTTGAATATTTTCCTCTCATGTGATTGTTTTCCTCCAAAAACAGATGAAACAAGAACTTGTTCAACAGCTTGAAAAGGAGTGGCACTCTAAGCTGGATCAAACTCTAAAGGCAATGAAAAAGAAGACCTCAGATTGTTATAGCCAAACTGAACAAGTAACCAACATTGATGCTATTTCCAAGAAAGAGATGGCAATTATGATAGAAGAGCAGAAGCGCAAGATCCAGCAAGATTTAGAGCAAGAGAAGGAAACAGCTATCAAGGAGAGCTTGGAGAAACTAGAAGTTGAATTGGAACTCAAATACTGTGACAACATTGCCAAACAGGTAATGGGCATGTTTATTTTAGTAATATTATTGCAACTGCCCGTCGATTAATGAAAGCCTGTAAAATGCTACCATTGAACTTGTTCATAACTTTATACTTTAAAATTTTTGTGCATTCTAGAGAACCTCTTATGCAGTTTGTAAATTATTTTTTTCATTTTACTTTTGTTACAAAGCTGTTTGCCCCTCAGATTTTCTATGTATTCTTTCAGTTTACAAAATGTTTGCTCCTTGGAGGTCAGTCTAAGGTAAAAGATGGTGGTTTTACAGCTGAATGAAGCACAATTTGATTATGAATCTTGCATATCTAACTTTATAGAAAATATTCCACTGAAGTAGTTATAGATACGTAAACTTAAAGCAAATAAGGTACTTGACAATATTTGCATTGAGACTTGCAGAGTTGAATCTGCAGGCCTGCCCCGTAAGTGGGACTTTGTAAATCCCATTTTCTGCCAAAAGTCAGGGACATTGCCTCCCCTTGGAGGCATTCAAAAAGCTAGCTCACTTTTAACTGGGGCTTGTTACTTGGTTTCCAAGAAATGTCATACTGAGAAAAATATAGCTCTGAATTAACAGAATAAAGATGAGCTATTATTTGTTTTATCTATGTTGTCAATTGCCATGACTATTGAATTTTTGGTCTCTGGAAGAGCTCCCCCCCACCCAAAGAAATTTTATTGGGGAACGGTGTGTTTTCCCAGGACCCATCAGCTCCCATCAGTCAAGTAGTTGTCTTCAATCTAGTTGTGGAGGGTGCAGCTCATTGGCCCATGTGGGAATCGAACCGGCAACCTTGGTGTTATGAGCCTGCACTCTAACCACCTGAGCTAACTGGCCACCCTGAAGAGCTTTTGTTTGTGTGGATTATGTGTATCTACTGTATTGGCAAATAAACCTAAGAAATTTTTTTTTTTAAAGATTTTATTGGGGAATTGGGGGAGGGGAACAGACAAGTTGCTGTCCTTTAGTTCTTCAGTCTAGTTGTGGAGGACGTCGCTTCACTTGCCCATGTTGGTATTATCATTGCGCTATTCCCGGGATAGGCAGTCTCTCGCCTGCCATTGGATGGCGGCCCATGGCAGCTCACAAAAGCCCGCTGCCAGCCAGCCCCACTGCAGCCTACGCCATCGCCGGTGACTCACGGCAGCCCAGCACCAGGTTGAGCTGTTGTTCGCCATCTTAGCTGTAGAGGGCGCAGTGTCTCTGGCCCTCATGTGGGATCCGAACCGGGGCCCTGTTGCTCAGAGCTGGCGTCCCAAGCCAACTCTTAACCAACGCGCCACTCGCCCGGCCCTAAACCTAAGAAATTTTTTAAAGACAAGAGTACTCTAGCACACATTCCCTTGGTTGTCAGAGCAGTGACACCATCACGTACCATGTCTCCTCTGGAGAACTATACTGTTTACGCATGAGAGAATGGGAGAAAAAAAGACAGATAATGTCTGAATATTATTTTGAAAATAGTTTTGACCTCACAGACCATGTAATAGGGTTTCTAGTCCTCAAAAGTTCTTGGAACCTCAATACAATATTATTTATTGTGTATTTATTATTTACAACTATTACTTATTTATTAAAACATCTTAAGATAATAACCTGAAGTAATGTTTTACAAAATATACTCAGCTTTTGATAAATACTTGAAATTCTGCTTATTTGTTAAATTGTTCTACATGATTTTACAAGGCATCCTTCAAGTCTGGAAACAGGCAAATATTTGTGATGATATCAAGGTCATCTTCAATTAATTAAGAAAATTTCTAAAATGTTTTCTGTAAGATTTGAACAGATTTAAGAAAATGTCCTATAAACAAAGAGACATGTTTAAGGTTTCTGCTTTGGTATTTATAAAATTATAAATCTTGTGAAGAAAAATAACATGGTATAGTAGAAAGGAAATACTTATAATAACTTTTTTTTTGGAAGATTTTTTGGGGAATTGGGGGATGGGAACA